CATCTTTTTTATACTATGGTAACCAAAACTGGATGCAGTATTCTAGGTGTGGTCTTACTAAAGCCTTACTTATTAGATTCAAATTCTCCTTTTACTTCAGGAAGTCACAATGGTACACAGTGCACTCTCTCTTTCCATTCTCTAAGAAAAGTGCAGAGGAGAGCAACAAAGATGATTAGATGTTTGGAGGCTAAACTGTACAATGGATGGTTGTGGAAACTAGATATGTCTAGTCTAGCAAAGAAGAGGATTGGGGTGACATGATAGGAGTTTCCCAATACTTGAGGGCGGTCACAGCAAAGGGGATCAAGCCATTCTCCAAAGCAACTGAAGGGAAGGACAAAAAGTAACGAATGGAAGATTATCAAGGAGAGAAGCAACCTAGAACTAAGGAGGAATTTCCTGTTGGTGAGAATAATTAATCAGTGGAACGGCTTGCCTCCAGAAGCTGTGGATGCTCCATCACTGGAGGTTTTCAAGAAGAGATTAGACAAAAATTTGTCCAGAATGGTATAAGGCCTCCTGCTTGAGCAGATGGTTTGACTAGACTAGAGGACCTCCAAAGCCCCTTCCATCTCTGATACTCTATGATTGTATAATTCCTTCTTGTTCTGGCTTGGATATTTTGTATTCCTGAGCAACATGTTATGGGGAATAGAAGATTCAAGTTGCTCTCAGTCAGCTTAGCTCCCAGAGAAGTCTATTGTTGGCATACAATGGTTTGTAAAATCTATCTTGAGATTCATATTAAGAAATCTTTTTTTAAAACCAGTACTTACTGTAAGTCCCCCCTCTTCTACATACTTTTCCTACTATTAGTTTACACACACTAACTTTTTAAAGAGTCCTTCAAGAGATAGGAATATCACAATGGCAGCAAGTGCTAAACTGCACCTATTCGTTTTGTAATTCTTTGACTTGGAATTGTGCAAGATTGTTCAAAAATACATAAATACTCAAATAGTACAATACCATTTTTAAAAAGCCTTGTCTACAACCAGTGAAAAAATTAAAAGACAAGGCAGAAGATTAAAATCCAGTGAAGGTAACCAAATAGAAAAATCTCTAAGTAAAAAATTGTTACGCATGCAATCAAAGAATTTTTGACTTGCAAAGTAATTTCTAATCCTCTGACTTGTGTCTGCATTTGGAGGCCAAACTATCCTGTTTTGTAAAATTTTCTTCAATCCCAGGAATTTTTCTCCGCTTTCTCACCTTCAATTCAACCAATGACTCAGATAGATGATTGATTGATTGATTTATTGATAGAGATAGGTAGATAGATGAGAGAGAGATGAGAGAGTGATGATAGAGAGAGAGAGAGACATGAGAGAGAGATGAGAGTTTGATAGATAGATAGATAGATAGATAGATAGATAGATAGATAGATAGATAGATAGATAGATAGATAGATAGATAGATGATATACATTGATAGATGATATACATTGAGAGATGATAGAGATGATAGATGATAGAGAAAGAGAGGATGGTAGGTAGGTGGGTAGGTAGACAGACAGACAGACAGATAGATAGATGATAAGGAAACTAGGATTACTTTCACTGAATGGTGCTGAAAGTCTTGCCACATCAATCATCAATTAAACTTGCCTGAATTATTTCTTCACTCAAAGGCTTTTGATATAGTTTTTATCACCTAAAACAGTGGTGGCGAACCTATGACACGTGTGCCAGAGGCGGCACTCAGAGCCCTGTCTGTGGGCACGTGTGCCATGCCCTGGAGATGGCAACCGTCCATCTTCAACCAGCTGCCCGCTAACTTGCCAAGGTCCCACATGGCCAGATGTATCCCAGCACTCATGCGCTCATTGGCCTCTGTGCTGTGCAGGGGTCGATGGTGTCAGGCAGCAGCCGCCCCGGCCCCTGCCTCACTTTGCCCTGTGACAATGGCACCCCTGCCCTGCCTCACCTTGCCTCGCCTCACCCCACAGGACGAGCCTCCTGCCCACTGCCCCAACTGCCAGAGACCCCCTGGATCTCCCCCAACCCTGCCCGGCTCCCATAAGCGTCCCTCCCCACGAGCAACATTGTGGTGATCACGCCCACCTTGGCCACACCCACCTAATCTGCCATGACCACCACAGCCACGTCCACCCAGTGGGCTACGCCCATCTGGCACCTGGCGATAAATAAGTGGGTTTTGGGTTGCAGTTTGGGCACTCAGTCTCTAAAAGGTTGGCCATCAGTGACCTAAAACTTTGGAATCTTACCAAGCAGAGCCATTCAACTTAGTGCATTCCTTTGGGAATTTTTGCGTAATGGGCTAGACCTTACAAATCCTCCTTGACCCTGTTCGGTTCTTTGTTTTCCTTGTTCAGGAGGGTCTGGTGTCCTTCGAGGAGGTGGCTGTGTATTTCTCCAAGGAGGAGTGGTCTCAGCTGGATTCTGACCAAAAAGCGCTCCATTGGGAAGTCATGCTGGAAAATTATAGGAATGTGGCCTCTCTGGGTAAGCAAGTTTGCTATTCGCCCGTCAGAGAGTTTAGTAATTAAATGCCATCCACTGTTTCTTATTAGAAGGTCTCCGTCCATCCAACCCTCCCCCCTACACACATCTATGTATCTATTAACTGCTCTTTGTGGTTTAAAGTTTTTCCATCTGTAATGATGGCATTTGAAAGTCCTAATGGTATCAGAGGGATCTGGCTATTAGAGAATTGGGCTCTCTGATGGGCCAGATTCTCAAGTAATGGGACCTTCCACTCAGGGGATTCTTCCTACCCCCACCCCCAATTTTCTCCAAGGCTTCCTTTTGTAAGTTCTGCCCAGAAAATGCAGGGACATCTGAGGATGAATGAACATACCCCGTCTGAGTGCTATTTTTCTCAGTGCAGGGCTCCCTCCTTGAAATGAGTTCCCAGGTTCAAATCCACCAGCATGTCCAGACTGAAATTAAACCAATGGGTTCCCCATCATCAAGCCCATTATTATGCTTGCTTCCTTGGAACTGAATCTAGAGCAGTAGACCGGATGGTGCCCCACCACAAAAGTCTAAATCAGAGGTCCCCAACTTTTCTGGGTTGGCGGCCTGGAGGGAAAGGGAGGGGCAGGTACCTTTGCGCAGTCATGCGCACATGTGAATGGGGCCGCGCACATGCACAACGCTCACAGTGACACTAAGGCCTGTGCAATATTTTAACAGCGATATTAGTGCTCGTGTGACACGGCGACGCTAAGGCCTGTGTGATGTTTGCAGTGATGTTAGCACCCACATGATGCTCGTGGCAGCACTAGCAGCCACTCAACGCTCATGGTGATGCTAGCAGGAGTGCGAGGGTGAGTTTGCATGCACACACACATGCACAATGGCTAGCCACTCACGCGGTCCGGTTGTGGGCCGCGGACCACAGGTTGGGGACTCCTGGTCTAAATAATCTTAATAAAGGAGAATATTTGTAGCTCATGGTTGAAATGAGGGATCCTTGGTGCTTTCTGAGCTTGGTTGTTTTCTTGCAGATGTCTCATTACCCAATCTGGGTAACATCATCAGTGCCAGTAAGGAGTGAGAACAAACCCTACTCCTTACTAGCATTGATGATGTTATCTGTTTTTGGGTAATGAAACGTCTGCAAATAAACAACCAAGCTCAGAGAGCAGAACCCCTCAGGTTTTTCATTCTTCAGCATGGGGGACAAGTGAGACCCCAACCTCAGATCTTATATCAACCCAATTGTAAGGAGCTGCCTCAGCTAAGCCACCCAAGAAAGCAGAACTCTTGAAACAGGCATTGTCTCAAAAGGAACTTTTATTAGGCGCTCGTGATAGCAGGGAAAACAAGGCGAGGTCTGAGGAAAAACCCGTGGAAGCGATATAATAAAAGCATTATTCAATACTCCTCCCCCCAGAGTCCCAGTGTTCATTTGAATTCCAGTCAATCCACAAGTGGAATAGTGTTTTGATCACTGGGTTCCTTGGCACATTCTTTCAAGGTCTCTCTCGCTTTCGTTTCCTTCTGGCTCCAAGCGCAACCATCTCTCAGATAAGGGTGATGCATTCCATCCCCTGGGGGACGGGCACCATAGCCGGACAGTGCAAAGTATCCCCAAGACATCCCCCATCCCAACAGAATGGCAGGACACAAAGAAAAGTTACAGATTCAGGAATAGGCATAAGGAAACAATAATATTATTTGGGGACCTGACACCAGTACCAGGCATCGCCCCATGTTTTGAACATACCCTGATAGACACAGGCAGAAGAATCACAAAAAGAGCTAAAAGGAAGATGATTTGGGAGGGTGGGGACTTAATTTTGGTTAATGTTCAAATAAGGGATGCAACAATGGGGGGGGGCTTGATCCTGTTTGCACCTCACTTTATGTCAATTTTTCTTTTTTTTCTTTTTTTTTTCTTTTTTTCTGCTCCAATCAGGTGATGAATGGGAGATGATGGTCCAAGAAGTGGCAGCACCATTGCCAAAAGGCAGAATGAAAGAGGCAGAGACATTTTTTGGAAAGCAAAGTTCTGAGGAAAAATTATTAAAGGGGGAGCTAGAGAAATGCTCTCCTTTACCACATGTAGCTGTCAGTGACTTCTCGGGCAAAGATGATCGGTCAGAAAAAGAGGGTTGCCCACAGTGTGGAAAAATACCCGCAGACGAATCAGGATTATATGACTGTTGCAGAAGCCACACGATAGAGAAAAAAAATGTACGTGGAAAACGTTTCCGAAGGACGTTCTCGGTTACTTTACCTCAGAGAATACAAGGAGAGAAACCATTTAAATGTCTGGATTGTGGAAAAAGCTTCAGAGACTCAAATTATCTTACTTCCCATAAAAGGATCCACACAGGAGAAAAACCATACAAATGCTGGCAATGCGGAAAGAGTTACCGTTTTCCACAAAGCCTCACTTCCCATTATAGGATTCACACAGGCGAGAAACCATATGAATGTCCCAAGTGTGGAAAGGCCTTTAGACTAAGATGTCAATATATTGTACATAACCAAAACCACACTGGAGAGAAACCATATAAATGTACGGAGTGTGGAAAATGCTTCACTAATTCAAGTTCCCTCACTTCCCATAAAAGAATCCACACCGGAGAAAAACCATATAAATGCCCGGAGTGTGGAAAGAGCTTCAGAGCTTCAAGTTCTCTTACTGGTCACAAAATGATCCACACCGGGGAGAAACCCTACAAATGCAAGAACTGTGGAAAAAGCTTCAGACGAAAATATCAATGTGTTGTACATAACAGAATCCACACTGGGGAGAAACCGTATAAATGCTCGGAGTGTGGAAGATGTTTCACTATGTCAAGTTCCCTCACTACCCATCAAAGGAGCCACACTGGGGAAAATCGTACATTTGTCTGGAGTGTGGAAAGGAGTGAACTCAATGTCAGTCCCTTTATGAGCACAGAAAAGAACCATATAAACAAATTATCATAAATTTGGGACTTTTGAGCTATTTATTACTGTGGAGAAATGAAATGTTAGGGAATGAAGGGAAGATAAGAAGGAATGACGATTTTGAAGAGAGTGAAAAAAAATAACTACAATTGGTTTTTTTGAATAATGTTGAGCATTTGTCCATACAGAGCCCCGAATATACTCTTTCTTGGAAGACCCACTCTGGAAACCTTCGCTTTTTGCATCTCTCAGTTTATTGGCCACTAGAAGCACTTAACATAGTTACATAACAATGACTCTGGGTTTTGACTTTGCTCTTTTTGCTCCTTAATTTACATCTTCATCACTGAACATTAATTACAAGGGTGATCAACACTTTCATTTCTGCAATAGTGGTGAATATCTGTAGCTCGGGTGTAGGATGAGGGTGAAGGTTTGTTTTCTGATCTTGTACGTTGGTTTCCGAACATTTCGTTACCTGGCTAAGTAACATCTTCAGCGGAGTTTAGGGGATGTCAGGTTTTAAGTGTTTATAGGGCGGTGGAGGGGTGCCAAGAGAGGGTCAGAGAAGAGCAACTAAGATGATCAAAGATCTGGAGACTAAAACATGAAGAACGGCTGCAGGACTTGGGTTTGGTTAGTCTAAAGAAATGAAGAAATAATAATAATAAAGTTGGAAGGGACCTTGGAGGTCATCTAGTCCAACCCCCTGCTCAGGCAGGAAACCCTATACCATTTCAGACAAATAGCTGTCCAGTCTCTTCTTAAAAACTTACAGTGTTGGAGCATTCACCGCTTCCGGAGGCAGGTTGTTCCACTGGTTAATTGTTCTAACTGTCAGGAAATTTCTCCTTAGTTCTAGGTTGCTTCTCTCCTTGATTAGGTTCCATCCGTTGCTTCTTGTCCTGCCTTCAGGCGCTTTGGAGAATAGCTTGACTCCCTCCTCTTTGTGGCAGCCCCTGAGATATTGGAACCCTGCTATCATGTCCCCCCTCGTCCTTCTCTTCGTTAAACTAGACATACCCAATTCCAGCAACCTCAAGCATCTAGAACAGTATTCTTCAACTTTTGTAAGAGATAAGTGGACCATTTCCTTGAAATCCTCAGGGTGGCTGATGCAAAGACTGATGCAAAGAATGAGTTAAGCAGCTCTGCTTTCTCCCTGTTACTTCCTTGCCACCTTTCATTCTCTTTTCTGTAGTCTTGCATGCTTGACAAAAGCCGCTGTCTCCTTTGTTGCAGAAAAAGGCAGCGAAACCCCACTTCTACCATGCTGCACCTCTATTGCGCAATCGTCCTTGGCTTAGCTCAGGGGTAGGCAACCTTAGCTCTTTTATGACTCGTAGACTTCAACTCCCAGCTGACTCAGGAATTCTGGGAGTTGAAGTCCACGAGTCATAAAAGAGCCAAGGTTGCCTACCCCTGGCTTAGCCAAACCTAGCGCTGCTGTGGAAGACGGGATCCTCCACTAGGAAATGGCCCACCTGTCAACGCTGCCAACATTGGACGTCCCTGCTTTGACAAGAGATGAAAATGCAGCCATTTTCTCTTTCACTTTAACCTGCTTTCTTGCTTTTAGAATTAGTTGCTGGAGGATAGGGGGGATTGGGATGCGAGCTCAGTTAGCCATAATAATAACTCTGCCGTGGGAACCCAAGGACAAGCTGGGTTCTGAGCTGATAACATTTTGGCGGGCTGGAACGCGCTTTAAACTAATGGGGGAATGTGCTCTATGACTGTTTATTGGGGGTGGGAATTGTACTTTGCTACTTTGTATCCAGGGGAAGGGAATTTAGTTTTTGGATTCAACTATGTAGTGTCTATACTTTGTTTCCCGAATAAAAGATTCTTTAAGGAAAATCACGCTTCAAAGTTCTTTTGAGGGTTTCATCTATCGGAACCATGACACCACCCACCGGGGCAGTTGGTTGGTTCAGTTGCCTGTCCTGCAGGAGGCTGGAGGTGTGCGGGGTCGGAAGCGGGAACGCATAAAATGTGTAAGGGGATCTAATCACACGTGAAGAGTAGTGGTGTATTTTAATAACAACATTCATCTTCATGACCTCAAAAGGTATATGCATATATCCAGAATTTTCTAGTAATTTTTCTTCTCTGAGATCACACCTGGCCTTTGAGGATAGCAAACTCCTACCTGAGGGGGTGTGTGATGCTTTCTGAGCTTGGTTGTTTTCTTGCAGACATTTCATTAGTCAAACTAGGTAACATTATCAGTAATGAAGTCAAATCTACGAGTCCCAGGATGATGTTGTAGGATCCAATCTGAGTCGGTCACCGGGACCTGAAGTTTTCTCTTCCGAGCTTTCAGATTCATACTGGAGCTGATCTTCGTGGAACTTTTCTCTAGCCAAAGAAGTCCCCTGAAGATGGGCTAGTACAACTCTGAAAGCTTGGAAGAAAGAAACTCTGGTAATAGTAATAGTAGTAAAGTTGGAAGGGACCTTGGAGGTCATCTAGTCCAACCTCCTGCTCAAGCAGGAAACTCTATACCATTTCGGACAAATGGCTGTCCAGTCTCTTCTTAAAAACTTCCAGTGTTGGAGCGTTCACCGCTTCTGGAGGCAGGTTGTTCCACTGGTTAATTGTTCTATGTCAGGAAGTTTCTCCTTAGTTCTAGGTTCTTCTCTCCTTGATTAGTTTCCATCCATTACTTCTGGTCCTGCCTTCAGTGACCAACTCAGATTGGATCCTGCAACATCATCAATGCTAATATTGATCTAGCATTGAACTAGCACTGATGATGTTAGCTAGTTAAGGGTAATGAAATGTCTGCAAGAAAACAAGCAAGCTTAGAGAGTGTCAGGGAGCCCTCATTGCAACCCTGAGCTAGAAATATTCTCCTTTATTGAAATCCCAAAGGATTCAACAGTTCCAAGAAGGCTCCGTGCCCATTTGGACTACATTTGACGACACAGATAAACCTCCAAGTGGCCTCAACGACTCTCTAAAAGAAAGCAAATATCCAGCTGTCTGCAAGGAGTATAAATCCTTCCATTCCCCACCATTAAGCCAGAGCTGAAGAAGCTTCTTGGAAGAGAAGTGAAAGGTCTTCAAGGAAAAACAAGAAAGTCCAGTTGCCTCATGAAAAAGCATGTTTGGGACAATTATGACCTGGATGTCTGAGAATCACCAGTCCTTTTATTGAAACTCCTACCTTTCAAACACTAGTTCTGTTCTGAAGATCTAAATTTGATTTTCAAGCAATATGAACAGCAACACGTTAAGTAGTCATTATACATTTACAGCCTAGTAATTTTAATGATTTTCCTTATCCGCATATTTCGTCCCGTCGTAACAGCCTGTATATATAAAAAAGCAGGGCTACAAGACGCCTTTGGAGAGGACATGACAGCCTCTCACAGAAAACGCAGCCTTTCTCCTCTCTTTACCTTGAGCACCTGCGTTGCACAAGGCATCCACCAGGGGGCTCCCTCTGCCAAGGAACCATTGGGCGGCTAGAGGGCGAAGGCCATACTTAGCTTTCCAGAGGAGGAGGAGAGAAGGGAATGACATCACAGAGCTTTGCCTCTCTAGGACGCTGCACTCTCTCTCCATCACCCTCTGAGCTTTGCTGCAGGTAAAAGAAAAAAAAAAAGGCTGGGGGAATGTCTTGCAGGGGAGGCAGCCAGATGTGACCCTAAGGGAGGAGGGGGGGGTCTCTCTTCCCATGCAAAGGGAGGCGGAGGGTCCTCATCCTGGAGGAGGGAGGGACACATGCCAAGTCCTCATCCAAGTTCAGTTCTCCGAGTCCCAAGGGTGGGAGAGACCAAATCCCATGTTCCCCTGCTGCCCCCCCCCTTTCCATGCACACAACAGGCGCGCGGGTGGGGGGGGGGAAGCAGAGGACCAGACCAACCTTGTTGCCCCCTCCTCGACGGAACTCAGGATTCCCAGGAAAGAGGTGGGGACTGGGGAAGTCCTTCCCGCCTGGTTTTCTGGGAACAGCTGGGGGGGGGGAAGGCGGGAGAAGAAGGAAGATCTCAAGCAAGAGATAAGAAAAGCCTTGCAAGACAGGAGATGCCCCAGATGGGTCCGGATTCGCACTAGGTGCTGGATGAGGCTCAAAAGAGAGCCAAATCCTTCACAATGGAACCTGTCTTGGGAGGGGGAGTGAAGCAGGACAGTATCTCCAGACCCTGTTTTGGGGGGGGGGAACGTGGCTCCTACCGTTGACTGACCCTTTTGGGCTTCAGGGCATGTTGTGTGGACATACCTGCCTGTAAGAGTCTGGCTTGGGGCTCCAAAAGTCAGTCTTGAACAAGGGTAATGGAGCATCCTAAGCCAGGGTCATGTTCTTGCATTTCTTTTGAGGTGAACAGATATTTTCTGGTTGGCTAATTTGGAATTTTAACATGTTGTGTGAACCCTGCTTGGAGGTGAATGTAGGTTAATTTTTTAAAAAGCAAGACCTTCCTTGTGAAAAAAAAAATAGAAAATGCTCCAAATACATTAATTCAGCATGAATAGAATAAAATAGAATAGAATAGAATAGAATAGAATAATAGAGTTGGAAGGGACCTTGGAGGTCTTCTAGTCCAACCCCTTTCTCAGGCAGGAAACCCTATACCATTTCAGACAAATGATTGTCCAGTCTCTTCTTAAAAACTTCCATTGTTGATGCATTCACAACTTCTGGAGGCAAGTCGTTCCATTGATTAATTGTTCTGTCAGGAAATTTCTCCTTAGTTCTAGGTTGTTTCTCTCCTTGATTAGATTAAGGTTGGATTAGAAGACCTTCAGGGTCCCTTCCAACTCTATTATTTGGTTTTGTTCTGAATTTATTTTCTTTTCCATCTTAGAGACACAAATGGAAGCCATTTGTACTCATCATGTATACATAAAATGATCTCTTGGCTAAAGAGGGCTGAACGTCTATCACCACAGCTGCAGCAAGAGAAACAGTCCTTTGAATGAAAAGTTTCCTGGAGATTC